CACTCTGGGGTGAGATGAGCAGATAGATGCTCAGCAAACTTCATCCTAAATTAAAGAATCGTCATTAAATGTTATTTCGCAAAGCGCAAACGCTATTAGATCTCATAGGACTGGGTGTCGAAGAAGGAACAACTGGCTTAGCCCTAGCCACTCGCGCAGATTGTAAGAACGCTATAGTTACATCACTGAACTCAGCGCTTATAACCTTCATAGTATGAACTCTAAAACTCAACTAATTATTTTATAATTTAATACCTTTGCATTTATTTTAAAATGAAGTAATTTTCTAATAGTTTTTTGTAATGTTTGTTTGTCAAAAACTGGAGCACAGTTTGAGTTAGTTTGGGGGTGGTTTCTCGCCTCTATCCGTGGGCTTGTTCCCTTTTTTTGTTTATTTACCATGGTATTGGATACTGATATAAGTGTGCTCGAAAAGACAAAAACACGCATAGTATGCACTCTTTGCAGCCCACCAAAAAATATTATCTCTCCAGATTCATTTGCTTTGGAATTACATTGTAGCAAGAAGCATGCAAATCGCAACGACCTGAGATGCCTCATATGCTCTTGTAGAGTTAATATATCCTCTTTTGTAAAGCATATTGACAAACACTTTATACATTCATACAAATATCCTTTTCTATGTCTTACATGTCCGTTTAAAGCAGACACTGCTTATGCTTTAGCCAAACACGTCAAAATTTGTCACAAATTGCCTGTCAGGACTTTGCTTTCAAAGTGTGCCCATTGTGACGTCAATTTTCCTACTCTAGATGAATTGGTTCTTCATCTACGCGAATCTTCAATCATTGTGTACCATTGCCTTCACCCTAACTGCTTGGTAAAATCCACATCTTTTTCCCACGTCCTCGATCATGTTTCCCGATGTCATTTAGCAAGCACAAATTGTATTGCTCATACGCGTGATGTAAGTTGACTTTACTTTGTTGTATTCCTTTTTATTTCATTTTATAACATTTTTTTGTTTTACTTTAGTTTTCCTGTTCTTGGCCTTTGGCACAACAGCCAATTAAAACAGATCCGTCTACTGAGCCATACTTGGCTTCAAACAATAAAAACAGAACAAGCCCGAGTTTGGAACGTCTTCCTTGCCTCTCATGTCCACATTGCTCATTTGGCACATCAAGACTAGAAGCCTTTGCCGAGCATATAGCTAGCTGTAATGTTGTGCGAGGTGTATCAAACTCCTTATCTGTCACATGTACTCTTTATCGATGTTCTGAGTGCAAGTTCCTTGCGACTTCACGAAACATGCTAATAGAACACCTTTCCGATTTCCACCCTCAGCTTGGAGAGGTCAGCAAAGCCCTAAATCTTATATTTGCT